CTGTTTCTTCTGCTTAACTGATTTCTAAGGTGCTTATAATCGGTAGAGAGAGAGTGAGAGAGAGAGCAAGGTGGGAATGGTAGTCTGTGGGAGGGTATGCTATTGCTGTTGAAAACCAAACAAAGTGGAAAAATAAGTAGCAAGAAAATTATGAAAAACAAAAATACAAGTAAATTATAAGAATAATATTCCCCTGAAATAGATTGATGTGGGGGAAAAATTAAAACAGAGCTTAATTCCAGCAATTACAGGGTATACTAAAATCTTCATATCTTGTAGATTTTATCTTTGTATCTGCAAAAACTAGATAAATAAATATGTACACTTGCCTGATATTGGAATACCACAAACTAAAGAGAATCTCAATTTCCCTATCCCTATCCCAACCCCTCCCATTTACCATTCACAATTGGGAAAAAACCAAAAAAAATTGCGAATATGTTCAACAATATGTGCAAAATGTTTATACATATTTTTTTTTCAGGCACTGTTCAAAAAAACAAACAAGCAAAAACGAGAGCAGCAAACGGAATTTAGTGTAAATAAAATGCCACCGATGAAAAAAATGCGACAAATAAATATAAAAAAAAAAGTGGATCGAGCTACACGAGTGGAAGAGAGAGAGAGAGATATGTGTGCGGGGGAATGCAGCAGAAAATGCATATTTAATATAGGCCTCACAGCAGCAGTAGCAGCAGCAACAACAACAGTTTTATATCCATGCTTTCTGTCTGCTTGTTTCACTGTTCCACCACTGTACCACTGTCGTCTGTCCACAGCCCACTGTCTGGCCCACATTCTGTCTGGACGATTGTCTCCCTATATTTGTCCCACTGTCTCCTAGCCCTGTCTGTATGTCCAGCTGTCTGGCACACGTTTTGCACAAACAAATGAATTCGTTCAGATTAATAGTGCACATGCAAATTGCAGAGCAATTGTGGGCGAGCGGGCACCAGGAACAAACAGGTCTCGCCAGAGGATAACAAGGGTGGAGAGGAGAAATGTTAGATTTAAATTTAAATCAAATTGTAAGCGTTGAACCCCAAGCAGGTATCATATATTACCGATAACTGCAAGGCAGGGGTGTGTAGAGGGGGGAAAACTAAACGCCTAAAACCACACACAAAACGTGAGTGCAGCGAGGGGAGTGAGGGAGAGAGCATTGTTATTTACGCTCTATTAAGCACTGCGAGAGAGAGAGCGAGTGCAGTTGATAGGCAGAAAGAGGGAGCGAGCAGTAGAGTGGGGGGACGGGAACAGCAATAAAATGGAACACAAAAGAGACTCGAATATGCGCCAATCTGTTCCGAAGTCATTCCAAACCAGGGACAAGCGCATGGTACAGCAGTACAGCTGTGCGGTGCGGTGCGGTGCGGTGCCCATAACACATCCCATGCCACAATTCGGATTAGTCTTCCACCTTTCTATGGTTGTACCATGGCATAGGGACGGCTCTGCGAGGGAACACCCATTGTGTGCTTCTCCCCACTGTTCTTTCCCCCCATTCATTTCGTTTCATGGCGGAGGATGGGCATATTAAAAGCTCTTAAGTTAGGCGCATCAATGGATCCTCATCATCATCACCATCAACCATCGCCGAGGTCTGGTTTGTGCCATTTATCCCTTAGCCAAAATGCATTTATGATATGAAATCCCCCCCGCACCGTTTTGCCGATTTCATTGACCCGTGTGCACCTTTATACATGCCTACACCTACACATATATATATATCTCTACGCTTTTCAATTTGAACTCCTACCCGGCAAAGGGCAGACACTTGATAAGGGTCAGTGATTCACAGGGACTGACATATCTTAACACGTTGCATATGCACATATATCGTACATATCGTACATATCGTACGATTACGAGTTTATTAGGTATGAGAGCATGTGTGATGTGTGAAACTGTGAAAACAAAAATAAAAGGGAACTCCAACAAAACGAAGTTTGTATGCTCTTTGCACGGTTTGGGAGTTCTCTTTGCACATCGAAACCTTTCCTTACTCTGCACCTGATGCAGCTGATAGATCTGGAAGTAATATAACTCATACGTACCATGGTAGATGATTTATTTTGTGCTTACGAAAATGAAAATACCAGCTAAAACCCTCCTCCTCCTCCTGCTTCTACCACTGTAGAACCTACTCCCACAGAAACATGATTTCAGGCCTTTTCCTTTTGGCCTCTTTCGATTGTTTTTTAACTTTTATCAGCGCCGCTACATCTGCGCTCAGTTTTTTAAATTTATTACTCAGTTTTTATGCACAGTCTTTTATGATTTTTATGAGTATTATTAAATAATGCTGCTCTGGTGCTCTCTGCTGCTCGTTTGCCATTTGCCATTTGCAACTTTTCGCTTGGTTTCGGGTTGAATTTCTGTGTGAAGGCCGCCCAGTGACATGCCGACCCCTTCAACCCCCAATTGAAATACAATTCCAGATGAGAGATGAATAAATTATATAAATCTGTTTACCTTTCGTTTGATTCGCGTCGTGTGTTGTTGTTGTTGTTTTTGTTTCTGTTTCTGTGGGAAATTATTGATTTTTGGTATTACTGGGGGAATGTTTCGAGTAATTAGTCAAATGGCAGCTGAAATCTTGTAATTGGAGAAATAATTGCCATGACAGATGGGGGGGGGTTATGTGCCCAAATGGGTCACAATTAATTCAATTGCGTGGAGTGGAGAGGGGGAAGGACATCGTTGATACAGGGACAGGATCCAACGGTCAGTCGTTTGGGGTAAATCTGTTAAAGAACATATCATCACATACCACCAAGGAAGAGCTCTCTCTCTCTATAACTCTAAATACGGTTATGCTGCAGAAATATGTATATTCTGAAAAGAGGAAGAACTTTCACTGTAAGTGTTAACCGACCCAAATTCCTGTAAACCCAATTTCGTAATTACACATTACAAAATTCATGTAACAGCCCAGCCCATCAATAAGGCAACAATTTTGCCAACCGCCCCCACGCCAACCACCCCCTGTTCATAGGAAAATTGCATTATTTATAGAGAGAAATGTTTCGAGTACTCGGCACAGTGTTTTTGTCCAAGCTGTTTGCTGTTTGTTTTTGTGTTCAAGGTAAGTAACCCACCCACCCCACACCACACTCACTCTCTCTCGCTCTCTCTCTCTTCCTAGAAATTGGATAAACTTCGAAAGTTCCGAAATTGTTTATTAACTATTTATGCAGCCAAGAAGAAGGGCCAGGCAAAGCCAGCAAAAGCCGCCGCCCCTAACTAATTACGGAGCTGATTAAATTGAATTAACTTGGCCACCAGAACACACACACACACACACACACACACACGCCCATAAGCCACACATGCACAGATACACATACACCTCACATATACAAACAATTCTACGAAAGGAGGTGCAATGGAGAGAGGGGGCGGGCAATTCTTGAGTTCTGTAAAGCCTACACACACACACACACAATACATATAAATTTGAAGCTAATAAGAATTAGGAAAAGCGAAAAGGAATTTTCCACTTACGCTGCTAAGCAGATGATAGATACAAAGATAATGGGGGAAAACTGAGCATCAGGTTAAACTTTTCAATTGTTGTGACGATTAAACGACTTGCCGAAATTAGGAAATCAGTTGACACATCCTTAACATCCGTTCTACCAGTGGGATATAAATATTTAGTAATTTCATGGCAACCATCATTTGAACATTAAGTGAATCCTTACAGAATTAATTCATAGGTATAAGGTATCAATCAGTTGGCACACATCCCAGTGGGGTGTCTGTTTGTGCATCTTAATTAATGTAGCCAAGCAATGTGTGCAGATTTTAGACCAGGGGAAACGTCAAGGGGAAGCACAGCATCACGCAGGAGATACACACACCATCAAAGTGGGTGGAGCTGCAGAGAGCCAGACGCACACCCGACACCCACTAATAATCCCATCCATTGAGCAGGGAACTGGCTTGGGTTGGGGCTGGGTTGGGCGCCTACTCACAATCTACCAATTTGTATTGTAAGCTCTGACAACTTTCGCACGTCGCTGAACTTTAGCCCCCGCCAACGTATCCATCAAATATACAAACATATATGTATTATATATTTCTGCCTGTAAATGGGAGCATTTTAATTAACACAAAAGCAAAGAGCAGCAGCAGCAGCAACGAGAGTGTCTAGACTAGGAGATTCCCTCTAAATAGATGGTATATCCCCTATCCAAATACATCTACGACTGGGAGTACTGGGAGTACTGCAATCAGAGTATCCTTTGCTTTTCCATTCAGTTCTTCTGTATAGTTTTTCAAGTTTTCCCATCAAATAACAGCAAATGAAATGTGTTTTCTTCTTTCTCCCTTTTTCCCTCGATCCATTTTCCCTCATGCACTTCTCGTCAAAAGTTTTGCGAAATGCGCTTAACTTTTTCCACCAAAAAAACGGCTAGGAGAAGGAAAAGCATTTGGGGGCGGGGTGGTGGGTGAATCAGGCTAATGCCTTTCATCGGATACGCTTTGCATTCGAGCCGCCATTTTGTATTGACCTTGAATGTGGCATGAGTCGTGGAACCGTGGAGGGGGGTATACGGATGAGGTTGCATCGTTTAAAGAGTGCCACAAACTGGCGGGGGGAGGAAGGAGGAGCAGAGCTTGATGGAGTGGCAACTGCAATGTGAGAGCTGCTGCTGCCACTGCCGCTGCTGCTGCTGATTGAAAGGCGATGCAGCGCAAAAGGGATTGATGGGATTCTTGATGATGATTTCATGTACAGTTTCGTCATCAACTCAACTGAATATTTGCAGTTCGTCTGCAGCGGCCTCCTGATGGCCTTCAATTTTTGATTGATTTTTATGACTGCCAGGCGGAAATGCCACCGCGTACTCAAACTCGTCATCCTGTGTGCATGGGATACGGCATATAGGATATGGGATACAGGATACAGGATATATGCATGAATCCGTCGCTTCACAGCCCATGGAGATTTAAGGCAGACGCTTATCGATTTATAATCGATATTCTATTGCTTTTAGTACATTTATATTGCCATACACTATTGCCAAATTTCAAACAAATTCAATTTAAAAATGATATGATAAAATCTACGATTATTGTGCCGCGCTCTTCACCCAACTATAATTCCCGCTCCAATTTTCATGGTGCCCGTTTTGAGCTGCAGGCATCCAGAGAGCAGGAACGTGAAGGGCACGTGTTGCAAGCGCTTCTCTAAGGAGCCGCACACGCGCCAGTTAGAATCGATGCTGCCGCGACACTGCACATCGCCCTTCTCTATTTCCGCTAGGTAGGAGATCGTGGCCACCGACAGCATCGCGCGGATACAGGTCTCCAGCTCCAGGCCAATCTGTAGCTGATCGCTGCACTTCAGCCAGTGCCCCAAATGTATGCCCAAAGGTGCAATGCGGACCAAGGACATGGACTGGCCAGTCTCGTAGCGCCCCGCCAGCGAGATCAGGGCCGTATGTCCGCCCGGCACATTGGAGCCGCCCTGGTAGACCAGCTCGGAGCCGATGGCCCAGCGGCGGGACACTGCCTGCAGAAAGTTGGCCACGATCATGCCGCAGCCAGTGGCGAGTCCGGGCGTGCCCAGAGTCAGCGAGCAGCAGAAGTCAGTGCCGCGATAGTCGGCCGTCGCCTGGCTGGGTGCGTTCTGAATGCCCGGCTGGAATTGAGCGCTCACTTTGCAGCGCAGGCGCTCGCTGATCTGATGGATTATGTTGCAGTTTAGGTTGCCCTCTCCGTCAAGATCCCCCAACAGCACGGGAAACGCTTCGGCCGGCGTGTGGATCTTGCTGCCCACGTAAGTGCTCAGCAAGTGGTAGCTCGGCGCTGTGTTGCCCAACTGGAGGGTGTGCGACATCTGGAAATGGTTGCTCAACGGCTTGTTCAGCACTACCTTGACGCCATCGAAGCAATTCGGTTGAGTATCCCGCACCTTGCTGAACAGCTCGTCCATGGTACCGGGATTGTCGAGTGTCTTGGGTTTGCGTTTGGCCAGCTTCATCCATGAAGGCGCCGCCTGGTGTGCTGCAGCGCCCCCACAAAATGCCTCACGAAACACAGATTCCATTCCAATAAATTTTTGAAGCTAGTAAAAATTACGTTGTTGTTGTTGCCTCAGCGAGAAGTAAAATTCGAATGAGTCGAAAGCAAATGAAAATTGACTTGATTGCCGAGTGACAGATCGGCAGCAAAGGGAAACGCACAGGAAACAAAACACGAAACACACATCGCATCTTGCCATGCTGAAAGGACTCGCAGTTAATGTTCCTGAATTCCTGAAGAGCAGGCAAAACTTCCAGCACATATTAATTCTCGAATATATGTACATATATTGGTACATAAACTATTTTGAAATGACGAAACTACACCAAGAAACCCCAAAACAGAAAGCGAGAGCGACAGATGGCAAAGGGAAAACCGCTCTAACCGCAACACGTTGCAGCCTCAGTCAGTGGTTGCTCCAAAAGCGAAAATGGGGAATAATTGCACAGTAGAGAGACACGGAGAAGGCAGCAGCTTCTCTTCTCTTCTCTATGTCACCTGTGTCTCTTGTTTGGCTTCTGACGATTCTGGTAATTATCTCAAGCGGGGTGGGCGTGGCAATGACTAAACCGCATACATATATGTACATTTGTAATTGATAAACTTTTTCGAGGCACAAGCTATGCAGACTGGATTCCGTTTTGTTGCATTAATTCTGGAATTCTTGTGGAAGCCTCTCCCTAAAAAGATCAAACGATGAACACGAAATTCATTGCAGAAAAGGGTCCAAGAAGTCTTATCCATAAATCATTGGACGCAAAGGACAGCAACTAACTAGCCATAATTCCATTTCTTATGGGCATAATTCTATTAGATGGAATCGGGCGTCAACAAAAGCTTAGCCAAGGTTGTTAATCATCTGTGTCGTGTGGGAGGGGTGGGGGGAGGAAACGAAATGAATAGAAATAAGTTTTTGGGGGTGTGGGGGGTCTTATTATCTCTTTACTTTAATGTAGTTTTTTTTTTGGCCCCGCAAAAGCTCCTCCTAGACATGAAAACACTTTTTTAATGTTTGTAAATTTTGTGGCAAATTTGAAAATTAAATTCCAAACCAGAAACCAATTAGAACTGATTCCCAATGCGGTTTCTTTTTGCCCACTGAGCTATGGATTTGAGTACTTTGTCATATGCAAGAAATAGGATCAAATTGAGCAGTTCTCTCGGATGAAAACCGCAGCAGTTCAAAAGCAGACAAATGAAAGGGAAATGAAGGAATTAGGAGCCCAAAATGGAGCTGCATTTTGGGCAGTGGAATAACCTCACCTTTCAAGCAGTGGTTAGACCCTCCCCCCCACCCGCACATTGAATTGTTCAAGCAGTGCCACAATCACGTTCAGTCATGCCTGACCCTCTTCCCACTCTTTTTCTACAATCTGTGTGTGTGTGTGTGTGTGTGGACTATTAATTTTGCTCATTTAACTAACGGAACATATTAAATGCACGCGCGCGTCCTACGCTAGAGGAGCCACAAATGGCAGTGGGCGGGAGGCAGCGCTTCATTAATGGCACGCCATTTTCATCCGTCTCTCCACGGATTTCCCCCCCCTTCCTTAACTTCACGTCTTTTTATTTTTTTTTTAAAGGTTAGTTCCTTAAACGGAGCCCTTGCCCCTCCCAATCTTCCGACTCTCCCTCTCTCTCTCTGCCCTACCAATCTTCCCGTTATACTTCCGCTGCTCTCCCCCAATCTGGCCGCACTCTTCGCTCTTCATCGTCGATATTTATGTGCCCCCTGAATTTATTAGCTTTTGGAGTTGGATATTAATGGTGGAGTGGAGTAGAGTGGAGGGAGCAGTAGACCATGGGAAATTGACTGAAAGAGAGGCGCACTATGGATGGAATGTGTGTGTGTGTGTGTGTAAGAGAGGGCCAGTGGCAAGGCCATATCATTGTGGTAGGTGGTTGGGGTGGTGGTAGGGTAGGGTAGGGGTAGGGTAATAAAACTCGGGTAATGGCAACTTTACTTCATAAAATGCTGTCACACGAAGTGTTTGTCAAGTGCTCCCCGAGTATTGGTCAAGTCAAGTCAAGGGACAGGGACAGGGACAGTGACAGGGATAGGGACAACAGCCGCTTAAATATACGTAAATATATAAACGAAATGTTACAGATAACATAGCAGACATACATACATAAATGGAAAACCATACCCACTTTTTGCCCGAGAACATTTTGCTGACTAAAAATGTTTTATTTTTTTTTATACATATTTTATTCGACTCAAAGTTTATTTCGAACTAAAAGCTGTTTTCCGGGCATACAACTTTTCTGTTTGCTTTTCATTTCGCGTGTTCTTTCGTTCGTTACATTTCCATTTCCACCTCAATAATTGACAACTTTTCAGTTAATCAGCAATAGTATGAATTATAAAGTTGTACAAACTTTAGGCCCCTCACCACCCACACCCCGCTACCCTACCCTTCAACTTTGCGATGATCATCCAGTGAGGGTTTGCCGGGGTGTCGTGTCGGTCGTGTCGGTCGTGTGGGCTGTGTCGCTTGTCCTTGCTTACAGGAGGAGGAATCGTTAACATAACTTTTAGCTACTTACAGCGAAATCCGATTAAAGTGCGGTGCCTGGCAGGTGGGTGGTGGGTGATGGAATGATGCTGTGTATGCCCATCAAGGCATGGCTCTCTATTTCCAGGACCACATACCACCACCCAGCGACTTAATACACTTTTGGCCCAGAATCAGAGTCACAAAAGCAAAAGCCAAAAGCAACTTCATTTTCTCTAAGAAAACGCACTAAACAAACTTCGTCGCTCCACTAAGGCCCCCCTCCGCCACCCTTCTCACTCACTCTCTCTCACTCTCTCACTCTCTCTCTCTCTCTCTCTCTCTCTCCTCTATCTATGATAAACTTATTTATGTACATATGTATGTATATTCATGTATAAAAAAAAGCCTCATTGACTTGACGATACAGCAAGAATAGAATCCAAACTTTTGCTACAAGTTTCCACCAGTCCTAGTGGCACAGGGAGAGAGAGTGGCACAGGGACAGTGAGTGGGTGGTTTGAGGGGTAGATGGGATAGATGGGATAGAGGTTCTTGCTGGAAAAGTTACTAAGAAAATATGTCTACACTTGCCGACGACATCCGCTTTCCGTTTTGGGAGACGCGTAACGCAGCATTGCGGCCGTAGCGTGTCAGGAGCTAAGGAGGGAAAACAATGAATGAAGAAGGAGGGCGCAGCGGGAGGAGGTGTAAGTAGAGCAGACCGTTGTTACAAAAGCTAATAAACGCACAGGCATGCACGGAGAGAAAGCAAACACAGGCGAAAACTTAAGGCAAAACTAAAGGCAAAAGCTTAACGAAATTGCATGGGAATCCCCATTTTCTTTCGGTGTACAAAAACTCTTTAAATGTGTGTGCGTTTGGGTGTTTTTGGTTCGTTCGCAGGACACGCATTCATTGTGTCTCATTTGCGAGAGCGGCAACATTGAATGCAAATGGCGCAAATTCAAATTACAAACCAACAATTTCCGCAAAATGTTACTCCCAGTGGTCTCCCATCCCACTCTCTGCCCTGCCCTGCCTCCCAATCCTGCCTCCCAATCCTGCCACACTCTTTGTTTCCACTCATGTACAGTTAATTGCATGTTTTATGAGTGGATGTGTGGGTGGGATAATAGCAGCCTCCAACCCAATAAATGTTTGCTGGTTCTGCTGCACATTTCGCCCACTCGATTGTTTCATTTTATTTATTTCATTTTGGCTAATTTTTAATGTTTTTTATTTGTTAATTATATTTTGATTTTGACATTATTTAGTTGCTTCAACTATATGCTCCAAAAGTCAGTAAAAAGATACAAAAAAATTACTTGAAATTTTACAGAAATAAATGATAAATACATTTTCCAGTTTTCTTGTCGATTCGTTTCTCCCCTGCTGTACAGTGAACCTGTTTATTTGGCTTTTCTCTTGGCTTTTCTTTTGCCTTTTTGTCGAAGCAATCTCAAGTGCTTCACCTGCTCTCCCTTTTTTCGCTACACACACACTAACAGCGACAGAGACAGACAATCAGGGTAACAGGGGGAGACAGGAGGACGACAGACGATACCATAAATGGTATTTCATTATCAAATAAATTCACAAGAGCGCTTCTTCCCTCCACAAAATCGAAATCAATAACCGCCTCTTGCAACACCTCCTACTCGTACTCGTTTCTTCTCCCACTTCCGCTCTTTCTGTCTGTCTGTCTTCTCTATGTCCGCCATAAGCCGCTTCCTTTGCTGGATTCCCCGTTCCGTTTAAAGAGTGGAAAGAATGAAACCCAATAAGGCGCAAGTGTATGAAAAAATTTACATTAATTTCAATATGCCACAGGAAAAAAATAAACAAACTAAAACATGTGAAATTGCTAGAGACAAGAAGGGAGAGGAGATACTCGACGGGTAGTTACCCAAAAACATGTGATAAATTAGCTAAAGATCTCATTGAATTGCTTACTCATAGAGATGAAAATGTAAAACTGTTATATAAAGTGTTATACTCTAGTGCAAACTGTTATACTGAATTAATTCTGTTCTAATTGCGTGGCTTGCTTAATTTCCTAAGATGTAAAAACTGTTATACATAGTACAACCCAGTCTAAGACTGATATACAAACTGTTCTATGGATGTGCTGTTCTACTTGTGTATAAAATGTTTCAAGCTTCGTTTTATTTCCATAAGTAATTTCACTGTAGTGAAACTGTTATACGATTACTTTTATATGAGATGTGAGATGATTGTTCACATAACCAATCTTCCCCAGTACGCCAAACAGGGCAAACAGGGCATCACAGCTAAACAGAAGAAAAACAAGTCGAGGAACAATTTCTCATCTTCATTTCCATAGTAAAAAGCCAACCTCGAAATTTGCATGGATCCGACATGCTCTCAGATTGGCCCCTGGCCCCCCCACCAAAAAATGAGAGAAGTGAACTGTGGATAGAGTCTCTCCACCATCCCGTCCGTTCGTTTGCCCCTTGGTATCGTTGTTATTGCTGTTGCTGTGTCTGTTACAGAAAATTACGAATAGGCCTGTAAACAATGGATGTGTGTGCTGTTGCTGTGCACAACATGAACGTAATGCACATTGAGAGCTGGAGCAAGAGAGTT